AGTGGATTTCTGATATGTATGCTTCGTTGATCGAACTGCAGGTTATTTTAACGCGATATTCATGGTAAACAATGTCTAATATATTATGCGTTTGGCGCAAAGTATAAACTAATCGCATTAGTTTCGCAGCGTTCATGTATAACACGTCATGCAAACGGCTGAAATCACAACGCGTCTAAATCTATTATGCCAGTGTAAATTAATGACTTAATGTTTAACGTATGAGAATGTATGCCGACAAGCTCTGCCGCATGGTAGAATAGCCATTGTAATGATATTAAAAGATTATTGATAATTGGTATAATATTCGGATATTTCAAAATTTACTTCTCCACTTGTACATAATATAAACACAGTCTTTATAAAATCAATTGTTTGATGTAATTTACTTTAGATTCTCATCTCTAGATTTTTTTTAAATTGTCCCTTCAACTAAATATTATTTTGTTAATTGAACATATGAAAATATTTAAATTAAATGTACATCTGACTTAAATATATTCAATTAACAAAATAGTAATTTAGATCAAGTTGACAAATTTTTTTTAGTGCACCAAATTCAAATAATTTTTGAACCGACATGAAATACATATTCGCGAAATAAGACGTACTTAAACCGATATATTCACAATCCGCAATTTTCTCCCGCTGTGTGGAAACGGACTTTCCGTCAAATTTATCTCCACATCGATTCCACTAGCGACACAAAGCAGAGGAAAGAAGGATAACTCTCGGAGGGAAGTAAATATGCGTCCTGATGCGCGCTTAAAAATATTTAAAACGATGTTGGCGAGCGGTTTTCCGTAGCATGTCGTTCAGCGAAAGCGTTCGTCGCGAAAGGGAGGAGGAGGAATCGATGGTGGAATGGGAAGGGCAAGGGAGATTAACGTGTTAAGCCGTCTTGTTTAATATGGCTTTATTACGTAGGTGGTAACGAACCGCCGGGAGGCCATTATGCGGCGATAAAATGCGCAATGCCCGTTGCACGTACATATACATACATGTCGTTTCGCGTGCACCTCCGACACGGACCTAACCCCGCGATATGCTCATGCGCGTCGAATGGACCGTACCGGATGAGGCACGCGTTTGCGATAACGCCCGCGGTCATGTAAAGCGTTACGCCACGGTCGCCATGGCTACGGAAAATTCAATTCCGCCCGTGGAATCGAACATTAGGCGCGCACGTAGCCGCACGAGATTTTTGAAAAATTGCGTTACCTCTCCGCGAGAATACGTAGCTCGTGTTCGCATTTATTCTCCTCGACTCTCGATGACCTCTCGATCGAAACTGTTAACTCCTCGCGCTATCGTACAGTAACGGGATGGTGTCGACAGGTCTTTTCAATCGGGAACGAATTTCCCACGCTGTGTATAGGGAAAGTTTTTTCGAATCTTCTTGAATCATCCTCGTCAGAATTTAACATAAAACTATTGTGGGTAATTACACCACTTTGATGAGAAAATAACAACAGTTGTTTGCTCGAATGTGTATAGTAGTAAATACTCAGTATGGATAAACACGCTGCAGCGCAACACATGCATATATACAGACACATGCGTCGACGTCTCTCGAAACTTATACTATACCAAGAAGCGGAGTATTCTTTTCTCGCCACGGCGGCGATCCAATAGTCGGTGGAGTCGGTGACAATTTTTCTTCTCGCCAGCCAGGCCGCTTGTAAAATGTATACAACATGCGTCGCCGGCATCTTCCGTCGCTCTCGGAATTTCCTTCCAACGAAGTGCTTCGAAGCGCATTCGTGTCGCCATTTCTCTAGCTGACTGGATGGATATTCGTGGAGAGAGGAGAGAGTTGGCTCTCGAAGAAGCAAGGGTTGAGAGACGGATGAACGGCGTGATGTACGTCAAATACGTGTATGCCGTATTTCCCGGGATGGCCTTCCAAAAAGAAGGTGGGCGTAGGCGCTGAAAACAGCCGGTCGGGAGTGGATGCAGGTGATGGAGAAGAAGGTGGATTTGGTTATGCGTCGCCACGTCTCGGCTGGATTTGTCGTCGTCACCTCCTCCCGGGGATGAGAAACTCGGTAGAAAAGGGGGGATCTTTCTGTATCCCTCTGTCCCCTTCTCTCCCCCGAAACAACTTTGAGAGACCGAAACGCGATGTAAATTTTTTCCCCTTAGTTTCCTACCCCTCGCGGAACAGTCGAGCGTCCTTCAGGAAAATGTCAGTTGCATCGGCTGGCGAAGGAAGGCATAAGTTCCTGAGAATTCGATAGCTTTTTTTAAGTCGATAAGACTTGCGATTATGTGTAGTAATATTTAGGATAATTTTCTATTTTGCTGATTGTGCATTATTTATATATCTTATTTTCCATGTCGATTATATATTTAAATATATATAAATAATATATTTAAATTTTTTCTGAATATAAACATATCTCGATCGAAAAAGTAAAAAAAATCTGCATTAAATTTGTCTTGAAAATTTATTATAATCATAATAGTAAATGGGATTTAATATTTTGCTGATTGTGCATTATTTATATATCTTATTTTCCATGTCGATTATATATTTAAATATATATAAATAATATATTTAAATTTGTTCTGAATATAAACATATCTCGATCGAAAGAGTAAAAAAAATCTGCATTAAATTTGTCTTGAAAATTTATTATAATCATAATAGTAAATGGGATTCAACATTTTTGTCAAAACCGAAATTAACGCAATCTCTCGCGATGTAATCTGTTACATCTACTTCTCAGACGCGGCGCGTTACACGGATGAGGAAACGCTACATTTAAATTACAACTGTGCCTTCCGCGCATACTCGCAAACAGACATGGCAATCTAAAAACAGCACTTTGTAGAACCGGAGGATTCCGCCTCTTTTTCGGATTTATGAAAGCCGCGGGAGGACGACGTGTTAAACGTTTCTCTCCGGGGTTTTATACACACATTTGTATTACTTTTATCTCGACGGCGGTGTTGTGAAATATACTCGCGCATCAGTTCCTAGATGTAGTCGGATATGCCCGACAAATTTCGTACCTTGACAAAAATAATAGAAGATCGTATTTCAGTGTGAACTCAAAGTACTTTAGGACGGACGTATCTAGATCGCGACAAGAGACACGTCTGCACGGACACTCTGAAAATCTAAATCAACGAGACAAAAGCCTTTTTTTTATGCGAGCCATAATTTTTCTCATTATCCCTTAAGATTTATTAAACAAAGATAATCTACTTTTCCGCTTATTGGAATAAAGAGTGCAAAAACCTTTGTATTACGCGAAATTATGTCTTTCAATTATAATCAGCAAACGTCTGATTATGTGAAGTAAAAAGAAGAATAAGTACGCATAAAAAATGTAACGAAAGAGGATGCTGCGTTGTATCAGGCTGGAAATCATGGCGTTCGCAAAGAGGGGCTAGAGAGGACATTTATTACCCTCCCTTGGAATCAGTAAAAAAATTCACCGTTTGTTCTCCTTTCGAAAATATTAAAATTTATTTGCATATTTAATATAAAAAAATGAACAAATAAATTTGAAAAAATTTTAAAAATTTAATTACGCTCCTTCCTGGAAAAAATCCTGCGGACGCCTATGATGGAAATCATTTGTTACTGCGAGGTCGATGAATCGCGTTACATCGTGCAAGGGCGGCGCGCCACCCTTTCTCCCTGACGGGGGTTTCGCAGTCGGCCTCCGATTCAACCCCCACCGCAAGCCGCTTCTCTTTCCGCGTCGCAGACTCCCTCAGCTTGTTAATCTCGCTAACGTCGCGCCACAGGTGGTGACCTCGCATTGTCTCTTCTCCGCCGTGGCCTCATCAACGTCAGCCACCTTCTATATTACCGAATAGATTATTTACGGGCTTAATAACGCGCGGTCTCTCCTTTCGACGTGTAACAGTAACGCGTATCGTCTCGGCGTGCGATTCTCTAAACGGGTTATCTCACGTGTCGCGAATCAATGGATGCGAGCATTGTTCATTATTGGAATATATATATATATATATATATATATATATATATTTCAGGGTTTTGTTTTTTTTTTTTTCGGTTGTTGTTTATTTGTTTTTAAACACATTCGATCGCGACAATCAATCCCAGGAGATTATCTCGGATTTGCGATGCGGGAATGGATTTGTTCGCGCAACATATCGTTTGCTATTGTGCAGTTGGACATGAATTCCTGTCGTCGCGGCGCGCCTCGTCGCAGTTAACGATGTTAGATACTACTCATCTCCTTTGATAGCCTGTTTAGGTGGATAATAACGTCCAATTCTCCTATCATCCCGCGGAAATCTATTGAATCACATTTGCTCCACAAGCTTGCGCCTATCGCGTTACGTTTACTATCCTGCGATCAAGGAAGGCACTCGGATCATACCATTGAACGAACGAGCTTTCTCAAGTAGGAGAACCGATGCTCCGTGGTTCCGCTTATCTCTGTGCAAACCAGCATTATCCCAGCATTATGCTCTGCGCAAACTGCAGATTGACAATAGCTGTTTGTCGAAACTACATAGATGCGATTTATAGCAGATTTGATAACGTTACACAGAAGCATATATGGTAATCTTTAATCTTTGGGATCAAATGTTCCGTAAGAGGAAAATGTTGAATCCCATTTACTATTATAAATATTAAATTATAATACATCTTTAAAACATGCAGAATTTTTTTTTAACTTCAAAACGAGTATCTTTATTTTTTAATATCAGTTTTTTTAAGGTTTAATACGAGGGCTTTTCATCTTTTATTATTCTGTCATATGTACTTGTAATTTATTTACGCGTAATTGTTCTTTCAAAGACTGCAAAGATTAAATTTTGTCTAATTATAGATAATCAAAATTGCATCTGTTTATTTGTTCTGTCTTATTAAAGCACATTTTACAGGATTAAAATTTTCTAATGATGTATTCCGAGAATGCGTACTCTAATTTCGTTGCCTCTGCGCGATTACCAGAGGCTGAAGTGTTTCGCCAGATTCGTTCACGTGGTTTTTCTTCCTTTTGTTTCAGGAGAGAAGCCGTACAAGTGCAGCTGGGTGGGCTGCGAGTGGCGATTTGCGCGTTCGGACGAATTGACGCGCCATTACCGCAAGCACACCGGCGCGAAACCGTTCAAATGTCGGCACTGCGACCGATGCTTCTCCCGCAGCGACCATCTAGCTCTTCACATGAAGAGACACGTGTAATCAATCGTTTCCGCGAACGGTTCCAACCGCGCGTCACCCGCAGTCGGGACTATCGGGACTTGTTCCTCGTGAAAACCGCGAAAATCTTTGACATCTACGCGAGGATCTATGCAATCTAGCATCTTCCGAGATCACCTAATAGCACTCTACAAATAGAGAGAGAGAGAGAGAGATCGACTCTCTAAACTTCTTGACGAACGAACATCGAGGAAATTTGCGAAATTAAATTTGCATTAGGTGATCGCAAGACTCGTCAGACTCTATCATTGACGGAAATCGAGCCTCGAAGATTATTGTTGAGCAAATCGATGATCCGCGAGACGCCGTTTAAGAGGTAATTGAAGATCGAGTTCGTGTCTAACAACGATCCGTCAAAACGATTCGGAGGAAAACTCGATCCAACAATCGGACGGGATGTTTGAAAACGTCACTTTATCAAAGTCCAAAGAATCGCGTGTATAACGACGTGCGTTTTCAAAGTGTGCTAACGTGTAAGAACGGGAGGTAAAAAAGAAAAGAAAAACGAGCAATCAATGATGTTCGTCTTTAAGGGCCAAAGGAATGACACGAAGCTTCGGCCTCTCTAATTTTCGTGAATTCGAGGAGACCGAAGCATCGCGGCGGTCAGCTCATGATTCAACAAAGAGACTGCAGACTCGATGTAATGTATATAAAGGGAGACTTACCTTTGACGAAGGGAGCAGCTGAACAAAGAGTTGCCCGGGAAGTCTCGCACGAGAGACGTCAATCACTGCCAATTCGTTACATTCTAAGATCAGCGCTACCGTCGAGGGTTTTTCAAGCTGCGACTTCGTCCTGTATAATCGGAAGTCTTATAAAAAAAAAATGCAAAACAGAGAAGAGCTGACCGAAGAAAGCCTAAAACAAAAATATTTCGCCGAGCCTCAAATCGTTGCCACAACGCGCAGCAGCGGACGGATACTCAATTCGAATGCATGAAAAATTGTAATGTTAAATAAAAGATACGCTCCTACACACCACAAACCGTTTGCCTTTTCCAAAACGATTGAGTCGACGATCGTCGTGCTTATTATATCGCGTATAGAGATGAGATAATGTATCGTCGGATATCGCGAGCGTCATGTGTCGCGCGTGTACACTGTAAAAACTGTAGATGAAAAAAAAAAAACAGATACGTAGATTTCGCGAGGACAATAATGCAGAGACTGTCGGTGCCAAATGTTATTTCCTTTCTCTTGCTTTACCTTCAGAAGCACCCCGCGTAGGCAACTCGCGGTTAAAAGCGCGCGCGCGCGCGACACTCGCGGGACCCTCGACGATCTCTCGGTATTAACGGAATCGCACGCAGCGGAGAGTCAAAGCGGACGCGACGCGTGGTAATTGAATACGTGATTTCGACCAGTTTCGACGGCAATGGGATTTGCCGCGCCAGGTGCTAATCCTGAATTTACAGTGCGAATTACAACGTGGCTCGCCGCCGACTCTGTCGCGCTGCCATACAGTTTCGCTTGCAACGAAGCTTACGAAGCTTGCGAGATCCGATTGTTTCGCTTAGGGCTACTTATAGCTGATTTTTATTAAATATCGAATTCTACTTTCAGGTAATTATAATTATTTTTTCAGGTCAATCATTCTTGACGCTACGATCTTTATATTCTTGAGAAATTTTTTTTCTTCGAACTTTGCATGATTTTTTAGAAAATTTTTTTTTGTAAACTTTGTGGATTTTCACATATATTATAATGAATAGAGTCTTGAATCACGCGTTTGAATTTAATATTTAAATAGTTTGATATTAACTTTTATTTGTCGTACTGCAAAATATTTTATTGCCTTTCATTATTATCTTTAGAGGGGCAGAAAAATTTATTAAAAATAAAATCTTGAATTGTGAGATATTTTTGAAAATATTAATATTTTAAAATACAATATCAAAGTCATTCTGAAACTGATAATCGCAAAATTTACATATATCTAAAATAGATTATTTTTAGATTTAAGAAATATAAAATTTTAATGTGGATATATCTCAGAATCTAGAAGAGTCCGCAATGTGATTCAAAGTGCATCTGATTCAAGATTCTATATCCACTATAAAAATTTAAATGATTCGTGTAAATCTTTTCGCAACTGTACCGTGATCTCTTTTTTATAACATTATGTGGTATATGCTCGAGCGAGGGAATCATTTGTCGAAACAATCACATCATGAAAAAGTCAGTAGAAAATACAAATATATATATTTTTTAATATTCTCGTCATACACTAATTGAAACAATGTAGATAAGGAATTATATACGAACAGTATTCATATAAGATTTTCGTGCATCTTTCACGCAACATTTCACGAATGATTCTCTGTCTCGTGTATTATAATTGACGGCAGATAGTCGACTTTATCATTTTGTATCCGCGAGCGCGTTGTTTCTACAACATCATGTGATCATCAGCAGGAGATTGCTCGTCTCGCTCATCATCGATCCAAAAGGTCCCGATATTACGATATTTACGATATATCGCGCGCAGCAATCGAATATTTCGGCGACGATGCCGAAAAGAAAAAAAAATAACACGAACGAAGATCATTGTGACGTGCACTCATCAAAAAAAAAAAAAAAAAAAAAAGAAAAAAGAAAAAGAAAGGAAAGAAGTAACTTGAAGAAGACTAACTTTTCCTGATGTAAGAGGCAAAATAGGACAGATGAAGAAAAATAACTAAATTTTAAATGTTCAGTGGCCAAATAAATTAATTAATACGCACGTAGAATCTAAAGGTATCGTACCTACGTCGAGTAAGCCCGACTGTGACGGAGTGTCATCGGCACGGAGAGTTCGTGCGAATGCATGTGCATGCGAGTGCGGCTGCGTTTATGTTTGCGTGAGTCATCGATGCGCGCGTGTATACGTATCTGCGTGTGATGGAGAGTTGTGTATGAGGAGTGTGTATATTTCTTTCCACGGATATGCCAAACCTGAAAGAGGTAAGGAATCCAAAGGAGGAGACGAGCAGAAAACACTGAGTTTGTATGTCGTGCAATTTTTTCAATGTTTTATTATTTGTTACCATTGTTCACGATTAATTATAAATAAATAAATAAATATATATATATATATATATATATATGTAGCACATTTACAATTTTAGGATATAACGGTCATGAAGCCAGACATCTTTTTGATAGATATATTCGGATACCGCGTGGTCGTCGTCACGTTCGCGACTTTTCCCCCCTACCCCCCACCCCCGATCTTTTTTTTCTGACGGGCAAGATGTAATTAAAAGTACACATAGTACAAGAGAAAAGAAATTACCGCGCGCGAAGTCTCGTCTCTTTGACCTCGACGGCCTCTCGTGAAAAATTCCATACCGGCCGCTGGAACGAAAGTAACAGAAGATAAAATTGTCGTCGCGACGACTTGTTAGAGCCGCGCATCTATAATTTGCTCTCAGACTCGTGCACCTAGGTTCGTACGTAGGCGTAGTGGAGAAAGAATCGACGAGAAATTGAAGACGCGCGAAAGAGAAGACTCTGTCCGGACGAGAGAGATCTTTTTCGCGTGAGGAACGGGTGTTTCCAATCGAGGCGACCAACGAGCTCTGTAGATATATGTATATCGCTAAGCTAAAACGGCGCGAACGTCGTTTTAAAAACGAGATCGAGTAGATGAAGGCGCGTGCAATTGCGTGAATAATCAACAAGAAACGAGATGTGAAAAGCGCGAATACTTTGAATAAAAAAGTAGCTAGACGTTTAGATAGATAGATGGATAGCTAAGTCGTTAGATAGGCACTTAGATAGACAGATAAATAGATTGACGAACGGAAATAGAACGAGTGCGTCCAAGAATGCTTGCGACGGATATATGTAGGTAGATGATTATACACATAGGTAGAAATATAAGTATCTAAGAAAACTCTAAGGAACCTTAGGAGAAACAGTATCGTTGTACGCGGTACGATAACTGAACATAAATGTTTTATGATACTTGCGTACAAGAAAAACGAGATGAATACTAAAGAATAAAAAATAAAAGCATACATATAAAATTAAGTGGTAATAAAAAAAATAAAAAACAGTACGATTATAATTGTATTATCGTGGTCTAAGGTATTTTCAGTCATGTTGTATAGTAATTGTAAATTTAACACGACTTTGAAAAGAAAGAAAGAATGTGAGAAAGTAATAATCCGAAAGAGAAAGAGAGAGGTAGAGAAAATGAGAAAGATGTGGAAAGTGTTGCGCGATTCGCTTTGCATGAGAACACAAAATGAATCGAAAAAAAGATAATGGATAAAATGGACGGACGACATCGGTCTCGAGTCTTGCAAAATTTGTATAATAAACGTCCCCGGAGAATTAAACGCGGAATGAGCGGACGGAAAAAGGTATGTAAGGAGCTCCCTTTTAATAATAATGTTAATAATAAATAACAAATACTCGCGGTAACAGGGCACTGCGACGAGCGCGACGGTAGATGTAACTACGTAAATTTCGAAGCACTTATCCCCATAGGAACGGAAAAGAAAGGAGAGAGAATTTGATGTTATTACTATATAAAGTTACGAGAAAGAAGAAGATTTGCTGCAATTCAAGACGTCTGCTATAAGTTCATTTGTTGCGATAATTTTCTGTGTATTTTCTTGCATAAACACTTATCGTTCCTTTTTCCTATTATTTTTATACGAGAAATATTTTTATTTCTGTTTTGCTCATACGAATTATAGAAATTATATATTCTCTTTTTCTTTCTATCGCTTTTATATCAAAAACGAAAATAAATAATTTTTTTTTCTTGTTTACTGATGCATCGCGGACGTCATGTATTGCCAAATACGTATTCAAAATACTACACTGATAACTGATAGAACTAATATTATTTTTGGGGAATTTCCTCGTTAGAGAAGAGTTAAATAGGTAATGAAGAAAATGATTACTATTAATACTGATATAAGGATTTTATGAAGAAAGACTTAAAAAGAACAGCGAGAGAGGGAGATAAAAGAAAGAGAAGTAGAGAAAAAACTTGAGATATAGAAAGGAAAAGAGAGAAAGAGAATAATTATGCAAGTGAATATAGAAGCACAAGTGGCAATATGTGAATGAAGAGTGAAAGTGTATGACAATTGGATGAGAGTAAAAAAACGAGAGAAAAAGAAAGACAAGACACGTGAGAGAGAGAGAGAGCGAAAGATTAACAAGAAAGATAAAGATGATATAACTTATATTTTTAAAAAGTGACCTTTGGCATTTAAAGACTTGTAAAAATCGTGCAACGAGTTAAATAAACAAACAAAATCAAGGGCGCAGTATATTAAGAGGCGTCCGTCCTTTTCCGTGTCTCTTATTTCATGTACATGATGCACATACATATACACATAATACAAACACACACACTGTACTCGCTCGTTGAAATACTCAAATATAGATACAACTTAATTAATTCTGAGACATTTTTTCTAAACTGCGATATATATTGACATGCCCTATATTTCTAAAAGTCTTGTCAAGCTCATGTACAGATATATACACGGGGTCCGAAATAAAGAAAGAATCCATCGACAATCGTCGAATACATCCGTGCTTCTAATCTAAATATGAAATTGAAAAAAGCAGTGGGATAAAAAAGGAGGGAAGAAAAGGAAAGAGACAGGATAAAATAGCAGATAGGTGAGAAAAGTCGGAAGTCGAGTGTGGGAAAAGTAAATGAGACATGTAAATGGATTCCTTTAAAAAACACACACATCTTACATAAGACACGGCCAATCAGTAAACACGTTTACCAATAGGCAGACGATTATCTCGGGGCCTACAAGAACAAAAATGATTTCGGTCAATATGATTCTCGTGCCTCGCTCGCGTGTGATCGCTTTCGATTATCGCGAAAATCGAATTTCCTCATTTTCGAATCGAAATTCCGATATTTACGTAAACGCGACAATGAGAAAGAAAAACTCGTTGAAAAAACGATTGTCAGGAGTGAAACTTTTCTTCACGACGAGGCATCGAGTATCAAAGTAAAAAAAATGAAAGAAACTTAGTCAACAAACAGTCACCGTATAGTCACTAATGTCATTCAACACATTACTCATGATAGGATAGCATTTTTAGGGATTTTATACAGGCATGCAACGGCGTTCTATGTTTTAGCCGAAATTTACTACCGATGATTATTGACGTTTCTTCGTATATGTATGTAAGCCGAGTGCGTGCAGACACGTAATAAAGGATAAAGGTGAACGAAAAAAGGCATGATAAGGATGATAAGGGAGTGAGAAAGCAGAGAGAAAGAGAGAAGTTGCAGGGAAAGTGAGAGACAAATGCAAGAGTCACATAGCAAAAAATCATTTTTCCAGAATTCTGTACCTCTCGTTGCGTATACATTTCTATTTATATAACTGTGCATATTAACATATTATAGTAATGTGATTTCTTACATGTAATCATGAGCGCGGAGAAACGTGAAAAAGAATCATTAAGGGAGTATTTTATATTACGAAACAAAACGAACAAAAAAAATAATAAAAAGATGCGAGAGCGAAAGGAAAAGAAAGTGCGAAAGAGAACGAATGCGAGATGTAAAAGCGATAAATAATTCTTATAATCGCAGCTTTTTTTGCCACTGAAGTATATAATTAAAAATAAGGAACGCGCTTGCACAGTTGTCGCTCTTTTCTCTCGGCGTCATTTCTTCTTCTTCTTCGTCTTCTTCTTCCTGCTCTTCTTCTCATATCGCTAATACGATCGCTATTTTTTCCATGTTTTCGATGTTCAAAATAAATAACTATCTGCATATATTAAATTCGTTTCAATATCGTTATATCTATCTACGTAAGGGCTACAACAACGAAAGAAACATCATCAGTAAAATAACGCTAATGAAAATCCATTGTACATTCAAGTATATGATCAGCTTTCTATATATGTGATGTCGCACTCTTCGCTCTATGCAGACATCTCATCATTGTCATTTTCGGGAAAAGCCGGGTGATTATCGACCATCTTGTCGAAAACGAGCCATCGATTTGCATTTCTTAAAGGCTGTCCATCGAAAACCGATGCAAGGACTTTCCAATCGCTTCCCACACCGTCGCTCTCGAAAAAAAAAAAAATTCTCTCTTCATATCTCATGCGGCACTGCGTAAACGCTTCGCGTCACGAGTCGTTCGTACGTATCGATTACAACGTGGGATAGATGCATCTACATGGCTGTGCATAATACCGTGCACGCGCGGGAGCTTGAATCTGTCTACCAAATCCTCTATCCATCCGGGAGATGTGTATATGTGATCGTATATATTTCTTTTTTAAATTAGTAACTTATTTCTCCCCCTCCCTCTCGTGCGCTACAAAATGAGTGTCATAAACCTGTGTCATAGATCAGCGAAAGAAAGTCGATGGTCGCGCGCAAAAAAAACACCGGGCAAAAATGTGTGAATTGTATACGATTCTAGAAACCTGACTGTTTTCGACGACAAACTACACAGACTGCGTAATAAAAGATTGCAAATAAAAAAGAATACATTTAAGAGAGAGAGAAAGGAAGAGAAAGACATTTTTCCAAAGTTGAGACACACTAACCATTTGCCGCGACTCCCAAAAGTCTGAGACGCGCTGGTTTACTTC